ATATCCGATAACTGCCTCACTTCCTCCCTCAAACCATAAAATAGAAGCCGCAATTGGAACCTTAACAATATCGTAAAGAAATGTTCTGCCTAATACATCGCTTTCAAAGAACCAAATAAGCGCGAATGGTAAGCGTTGCAGCGCTGCTGAGGCCTGCGTATTACCTCATCTACTTCGTTCAAAACGAACTAATAAAGAAATGTGTGCCATTGGAAAATACGAACGAAGTCCAATAATGCCCTCGTTTTTAGCCGCCAAATAGCGAGCATTTCACTTCTATATTGATTGGGCCGAACTACAGGAGCTCTTCAGGAGAGACGACTTGATAGACGCTTGAGATTTGAAGGAAATTATCGTAGATCAGCCGTAGGCCAACCACTACGCCCACGATGTGCTGCCGAAATGTTTTGATAAATAAAATCTGAACGCGAGCGCATCCTGAGACTTCAATGGAGTTAATGGAATCGAATCTAATGTGATAAGTGTAGAACAATATGAGGAAATCTGCGTGAAGCTCTTGCTCGATCTCGGTAAATACTCGATGTTTTCACTACTGCCCCATTTCGAATTTGTACTATTAATTACTTTATCTGATTTTATAAGGCGAAAATAAATAAATGAACAACATTAGTCTCATAAAAGGACACATTTTCTGACTCACCATCATTAATATAATATGATCAATGAAGACGCACATGATAATAATCTGCTTTTTAATGGCAAGAAGCAGCTAATTTATAAAGCATTAGGTTTTATACGCATTCATTATCAGTGATGAGACACAGTGATCTCTAAGAATCCGATTATGCTCATTTATAACAGATGATAATATCCCAAAATTCGCTCATTAACTGGCACCAAGTCTGAGGAGTGCCACGTCCTTATTATAATAAGAATGGACATGCTCTTCAAAATGACTTTCATAGAAAACTTCCGGACTATCATCATCTGCTGCTCTTTCATTCACAGAAAAAATGTTAAAGGCTTAGCGTTTCTCCAAGGCTAAATATTTGCGCATAAAAATGCACAGGAAGTTAGAGCATCAAAGTCGAAGTTAGTGCAGGAAATGGGCGATCCGAGGAGGAGTCTTATTAAAGCGACGGCCCCAGGCCAGAAGCTGGAATAATTACTGTGGGGGTCGAGTCTCTTACTTGAAGCCTCAAGACGCTTGTGGTTGGGCGCTGTCGGAAAAGAAGGATTATACTCATTGTTGTTCGCCTCCCGTCTTATGATTCGCATGTATTTTGGAATGACCAATTATTATCAAGAATTTGACAAGTGATCTTAATTCTGGCTAAGCTTTGAAAATGTTCTTCGCCATGCATGATTTCTAGGCTTTGGCGCAATAAGTTTTTGAAGATTAAAGAAAGAGGTTGTTGCAAATATCCTCTTTCTTCCTTGCTAACTTAAAATTTATTTCCCAAAATGAATGCTCAAAGCAATTTAAAAATGGAACAGATCGTAGAAAAAGTATCTACAAATTAATATAATTAATTTCTCAGCTTATGTTTCATTTTAATTTCTAATAACTCTCTATTAAATTTTTCTTTATTATTAACTCCAAAAAATTACTATTGAGCGAAATAATGGCCACAGTTTCGATTGTTATTTGCTTCTGGCTCACTGAAGATGATAACATTCTCAGTTTTACATGAAAGAGAGAGTTCACATGATAATTCATATATTACAAATTATTTTCGAATTCTACTAAATAAAGACCTTGTGAAAAGTGAATAATTCTTTTAAGCCAATACGAGTAGTAGCCTAAGGGTAACATGGGGCAGCGAGCCCACTGCGGGTCATGGGCCCATAGCGGGTTTCTCGCTAAGTATGGCAGATGTTGGTCCGTTTTCTCTACCGCCGGTCGACAGTTTCACTGGGATGAAGTGTACGGATTTACGTTTTGCTAAGTGTTTGCGTTATTAAGTAATTTGTGAATAACTGTTTTAGTCCAGATAAAAATTTTTTGCTGCTAAATAAAACTGTTCTCGATTACTGTAGATGAAGCTTTTGAAGATACTGTGTAATATAATTTGAAAGTAACATTTATTGGGATAATTTTGAGATCAAGTTTAGACTATTAGCTTTTAAAATAAAATGTTGACACGATATAAATTGAAATGAAACTTAGTGGGGCAACGGGCCCACGCGTGTCACGGGGCAAAGCGCCCATGGTGAAGTCTTGTGTTAAACATCATTAGATTTCTCTCAATGACTTTTTCAAAACTATGACTAGCTTTTTGAATTACCAATCACACTTCATATTGCATGATCTTGCGATTTGCCGCCTCAAGGCAGCAGGTTTAATTTCTAGATATGCGTATTTATGACCCCTTATCGAGTTATTGACTCTTGCCTTGCCAAAAGTTGATTTCAGTCAACATCAATGAGCCAAAAATTGATGAGTTATTATGGTGTTGGCTGAAATCACGATTAGGTACGAATTCTCTGCACATAATATTTGGATTAAGAGCGAATCTGGAACGAAGTTTTTTGCTGATCAACTAAATATATTTTTTCTAGTCAAGGATACTTTTTTTCATGTCAAGGACGAATTTTTTATCACAAGGATATATTTTTCAAGTCAAGGATATATATTTTATGTCAATGAAATATTTTTCTTCACGTCAGTGATAGATTATTTAAGCCAATAGTATATTTTTTCATGTTAAGGATATGATTTTTTGAGTTGTTAATAAATGAATGAATGTCATATTTTTTAACGCATTTTTCTTATTTTTTTTAACTGTGAAGTGTTGTTTTACGAAAAAATGCAATAAACGAAAAATATGCAATTGTGGTAAAGGAACCAAGGGTGTGTGCTTTGCCCCAAGCCCATGGGCCCATTGCCCCAGGGGTGGGGCAATGGGCCCATTTTGACACTTTTTGCAAAATAGTATTTCATTAAAAATTTAATAACTCTATAGGCGCCTAATTCCCATCATACATTCCTCATTAGTTGCACCGTTAAACAAAACAAAAAGCCACCTCGTATCAATTAAAACATCATCAAAATTTTAGTTTGAAAAAGGGAGGGCGCGCTGCCCCATATTGCACTACTATAAAATTTGATTGAGCATGGTGATTTGATTATGCGTAAAAACGGCATTGAGCATCGGATACTATTATTTGCTGTAGGTGTGATGGTTGAATATTTGCTGATTTTTCAGAAAGTTCGGGGTTAGAGTAAGATATTAAATTAAATTAAATTCTTTTACTGCTTTAATTGGTTGAATATAACCTGGTTATATATTTGATGTATTCAAATGAATTACCGTTGTAAAGCTCACAAGCTTATTATTTGAAGCTTCAATGGTCAGCATTAATGAAAATGTGAATGTACAGGCGCAAAAAATTAAAGGATCCACTTAAAATCAAATTCGAAATAGCTTAATTTGAGAGTAGAGGTATTTGTATTCTATGAAAATATAGGTTTAATTTCATTCTGCTGGAATCGCTAGTGGGTAACACGAGAGTTTAGTTTTGTGCAAGTGCAGGCACGTCGTATAAAATATGCTGCAATCCGAGCACAAAATAACCTCTGAAATGTTGCCATAAAAAGTAGAATTTTCACCCTAGCGTTTCATTTAGCGCGGGAGGCCGCAATGAAACTCTTAAGGGACGACTTGAAACGAATTCAAGAATCCGATTTTGTCGCGGATTTCCGTTGTTTTCTTGTCCTAGGGGAGAATTTAGGCGCCTTTAATTTAGTGAGACACCAATTTGGTCCAACATTTCTAGTTCTCGGTTCAATTTAAAACAAGATTTTCCTTTTGTTCGGTACCGATTTAATTAAACTGAATGCCCGATTCAACTAAATTTGAATGCCCATGCAGTTTATTGATTAATAGTTGCCAAATGTGTAGACCACTGACGATTCCAGGGTATTTTTATTTATATATTTTTCTAGTTAATTTCTTGAATGATATATCGATAAAATTCTTGTCCGCCAACGCAGAATTTTCCGAGTATCTGTCAGCCAAATTTATCGAATTTTTAAATTTTTCCTTGAAGAAACCTTGGTCTCTGATGAAATTCGTTTGAGCTCAGGGTCAAAATCAAAATTTAGATGGGTGATGGGTAATGAGCTCCAAATTCGTGGGCGAACAGCCACAAAAAAAAAAACAAGATCATCAGAAATTAATGAGATACAATATAGGGAAGTTCGCTGCTAGTATCGGCTGAATAAACTCATCTCTCTAAACTCTAAAGCCTCCGTACAAATAACAGCATCCCTGTTCTTTCATAATTTGTGAAACCTCTTTTTCCAGAAGGTGATGGTATCAGAAATGGAATTGAATTTCTTTTGACGATTTTAATATTGACAATTTTAGGCAAGCACCAATCTTCGCGACACCCATGTCATCCGAGGACTGACCAGTAATTAAGTTACAGTACAGAATTGTCACCGAGTTCTTCCTATCAAAAAGGCTGACAATTTTTGGACTGCAATATTTATATTTCATATTCACAACATTCGGTCGCACTGGTGGGCGATAGTAATTACCTGAATCAGTAACGAAGCAACGTCGGTTTATCGCTTTTCAGCAACACACAGAAACTTCTGTGCGTGTTTGGCCGGACGAGTGGCATCACGGTGCAGTTTGTAAACTGCGTGGTGTCATCTGATGAGTTTCTGCTTCTACCAGCGAATTATACGAATACCTGATATTTTTGCACGAGAGTTTCAAATCTCGCAACGCCATGCTGAATATTTTTTATAATCGTGCGAATGTTTAGATATACAGTGTCAGTTGACAAAGGCAATACTTTCAGCAATAAACGAACATTAAAAAATTTTGAAATTCATGTCGGTAAGAGATCTCGATCGGTCGCACCAGTGCAATTCTAATAACTGCAGTAATAATAATGATAATAATAATAATGATAATAATAATGATAATAATAATAATAATAATAATAATAATAATAATAATAATAATAATAATTTATAATAATAATAATAATAATAATAATAATTTTACGCGATAAGCCTTTGGCCGCCCGCTGTCCACGAGTAGAAAAATTGAAAATTTACTGCCTCTTCCAAGCGACTCGTGCAGGTCACGTCTGCTTGAAAAACTTCCGCGACATTACTTGACCAAATCCATGACTGTTGAAAGGGTTGATATTAGAAGTGATTTATTTTAGGTTTATTTGATTTATTTCACAAGAAGCAGGTCTACATTATTGCTTGGCTCGTGTACAAATTTGAGGCAACCAAATTGCGGTTTTCAGAAAGTTTAATTTTAATATCGCAATGCATTAAAGAAACAGGATAAACAAAAACGGGATTAACAGAAACAGGGTAGAAATGACCTGATCAAGAAATACAATATCAATAGAAATAGGACGAGCAGATACATGTTATATAAAGGATCAGTTTTTTTAGCGAGAAAATCGCTTGTGATAGGAGTGATGACGAGTAACTTGTTATAATAGCAGTCATTTCTTTGGTTCATATACGTTTAGGTTTTGGAATAAAGGAACAGATATAAGTTTTGGTGCACTATTCTTGCATTAAATTCCTAGCAACTGATAGCGATCAATTCACAGGCAAAGCCGACTGAAGTTAGGAATGAAATTTAAATATTGACTAAAATCTTTTGACACTTTCATTTAAGGCAAAAGTTATCAATACTTCACTTCGTGTCGAATTTAAAACCAATAAAGAGCACAGAAACATTAGTCTAATTAGGTAAATAGCGGTAGTTTTCAGCTACAAAAACATGGTCATAAATTTTGGAGGCTCATCGCTCGCAAATAAATTGAAAAATTAAAGCATTACCCAAATGATATAAACGGATGATGACTCCCAGTTTTGGGGAGTCAAGACACCATTTGGGACAAGACATCATTTGAGAGTCAAGACATCAAGTTTTGGGACTCCCAGTTTGGGGATGACTCCCCCCAATGATGATTTAATGAACATCATTTTCGATGCGTCCTAGGCATATTATAAAAAGAGAATTTTTAAATTAATTATCTGTCACGGAGCATTCATTTTAATCAAGAAGTTAACAAGAAGTTAAAAAAAACTTCGCGTTCAATTAACAATAATTATTTACAAAAAATTAATGATTGTTACAGTACGTATATAGCAGGATTCAAATGAGTCCATAGCGTTTCATTACATTTTGAAATGATATTGTGAGTCAATTAAAGGTTCGATGTCAGCGATCAATGCCCCAACATTCAAAAATATTAAGGCAACCCATATCACATTTATTGATATTTATATCGATAACATTTTGAGATTCAGCGCGAAGAATCTGTGCGCAATGTTTAATAGGTTATAATAATGACATTATTCGTGCTTTGAATAACCATTCAAGTGTGTCTTCTGTAATATATTGAAACCATCACTATATCTTTCAATTGAGGGTTCGTACAAAAAGCTTCGTAAACATACAATACTTCAATAACTATTTTGACTTCCTTATGACCATGCAAGTGCATCTCAAAAACGTTATTACAACGCAAACCTAATGGTAAAATATTCTATAAATTCTTCCTAATGCAAGCAATATTACTAGAATTTAAATGAAAAATAAAATGCAACAAGATTCGATGTCATCACTTCGTACAACATTCATATATCTATTGTTAACATTACATGAATCGGCAGTCTACGCTAGAAATCATTTGGCGTCATATGATTGGTCCCGAAGTCTAAAGCGAAGATTCAAATTAAAGAGACTCGTAATACTGAGATCCTATAACAACTACTATGAAGCTAAATATAATTTACATGGTAATAGCGGCGAAATGGTAGTAGTGTGGCTCTAAAATACATATATATATACGCATTGTGCGCTAAACGACTAATTATCTAAAACTCTTATCTATTTACGTATATATTTTCACGACTTGAGTTTCCTTTCTAAAAGATAATTCTATTGTATACTTCACCAAATAAATACTTCAATAATACTACTGGACAGTTTATAGTTACTTTTTTTAGCTATATTCGACAGACTAATAATAATTTTAAAATCGATTCTCTCGGATTAAATTTGGATTAAATAACAATCAGTCCAAGGAAGTGACTCACTATAAGGTAGTGAATAGGGCTGACGATTACGCATTGAATAGAATTGTGAACTTTTTGATTATTATGATTAGTTATTTGATCAATCAAAGACTCAAATATAAACGAAAATATACAGTTTATATGATTCATGGTACGATGAGTTCAATTTTAATTACGAAATATTGAGAAACCTTGTTTTGGCATTGATATATTTTACTTAATGTTTAACTCACATTATCGTTAATTACTATTTTTCCTTGAGAATGATTTTTAATTACTAGTGAATTAATGAGAAAATTCATTTCCCTTGCATTAAAAATTTTTTAACATGCTAGCACATAGAGCACACAGCTCTATGCACTAGTACACAGAGTCACAGACACCTTCAAGTTAATAACTTAATGACTATAATGGCGCCGACAACTAATCCTCCAAGCAAACGCATCTGATGAATATATTGTAAATGTGAATCTCGCTAATGAATTCACCCCTTAATATCTAAAATAAATAACCTTGTAATTTCGCGCATAATTCTCGCAATGATGCAAATTTTAGATATTTGATTTTTATTTTGCTGATTTATCACTTCGTTTTGCCCAAATTATTATTTGCCATAAGATCTACCTTTGGTCAATAATAAGTCGGTGAAATTTTCCAATTCTGTAAACTTTTAAAGATGTTAATGTTTATTTCATAAGGCTGCAATGCTAATTTTGGGCATTTGGCAGAGGTTTAATATATACGCTCAGCATCTAATGTCCTTTTTCGAGTGATCCACAAAATTTTTGAGCCTTATATCTTAAACCTAAAAACTTCAGTTGGAAGTGGAATCATTATCTTCCAATTTGTTTAAAAATGAAGAAATGTAGCACAACACAGCTATTGCACTGCAATCAGTGTCCCCATCTGTACTACTCGGTATCCCTGTGTTGACATCAAATGTTCATACATGAGTTGGTTAATTTTCTCTTCACGGAAAGTAATTCATTTGTAATAACTTTTTTCTCTTAGTTAATCCTTTAATGCCTCGCGTCACCACTAGAAAAAATGTTATCGGAGCATCCACCCACTGATGAAACAAGTCAACCCGCACACTCTTATGTTCTGTAATGCTATATGTAGACCAATCTCTTCAGCCATGGACGTAGTATTAAAAACTTTCCCATGCCGTTACTTGGTCTTTGTCTTCAGTACCTCACCGTCAATTATGATTTAATTGTCTCATCTTATCACCCAATTAAAGTTCCAGGTAAGTCCTCACTATTTAAGAATAATTTAAGCTTTCAGTACCTCCTGTCCTCATTGGATGAAAAAGACGCATTTTCGTTCTGGTAGGCTTGCGGAATTGTTCTTACGTTGTTATGGGGCACTACAAGAGGCTCTGGAGAGATCGTACCTCTGGCCGTGCGCTTGACGTTCTTCTTGCGCTTGTAGCGACAAAGAAGAATGTCGACACAATCGCTCTTCTTGCGGTCGATGAGTTTCTCGTAGCCAACGCACAGCATCACGACAGTCATGATGATCGTTGAGATGCCCAGCACCAAGAATATGCCAGTCAAGTTGAAAGCGTCTGTTTCTGTAACAGGAAAACTTTTAAATAAATTTCAGAGCATCACAATTAGAATGACGAGTGCGAGAGATTATGCCTACATTCTGAAACAAAGATGCATCACTCACCACAATCAAGCTGATTTCGGGAAAAGTGTCCATCAATTCCATGAATCTATCACAAAACGTTAATTAAAAACTGATTTATGGACTGATAAATAATCAGAAATTAGGACCAATCGAACTTCAGTTGAATTCATTCATTTATAACGATTGTTAAATGAAATTTTTCGAGCAAGAATAAAACTGTTGTGTGTGTGGTAGCCATGCGCGCCGCTCCAGTTACACTCCAACATCAGATCGAGTCATATTTTTTCGGATGTATGCGTTCTTTCAGCTCTCAAACTATCAATCATTCAAGAACACGGTTGAGGGTATCCACTGGCACTCCTCCAGTAATTCTCAAGAAATAAAAATAACTGCTGCGGTCGCCTTCAAACTCATGGCAGTGATCGTAATTGAAATAAATTACTTCGCGGGTTCGAAGTTTTCATTGATTGGTAACAATGCTCTTTCAAAATTTGTTGCCAGTGCAATTTTTTGCATTGTTAAATTATGAGATTATTTAAAACCTCATTATGATATCAGAATAATAAACTGAAAATGAACATAATTGAGTGAAAATTAAAGTCGAAGCATTTGCATCAAATATATGATTAATTTTTTTCCTATTTTGTGCAAAATAAATACTTTAATACACCGCGCGCTATTTAGCCCCTAAACTTATTTTTTTAACGCCGTCGTTTACAAAGGGCATGGTGGCGTAGAGCCATTCTTGTGATACGATGTTGGGCAATATAGTCAATAAAACGGTGCTGCCTGCGCCAATAAAATAAAATGGGTTCATAGATACCCATATACCCTTTCTCACGCCTCGATGCCCTTGATAGAACCACATCTGTTTGAAATATATTTTCGGTTGTTGCGATAGTTTTGAGCAAAAATATCTTGAACGATCAAATTTTGTTAAATTTTAGAATGAGTGAGTTCTTAACAAGATTTTTTATGTATAGATTTCAATCACACCTGATTGTGATTCGCTCATTACTTCAGCGATTTGACTTATGAATATTTATAATTTTTCTAAATTGAAAATAAGTGAGACTTTTGTATGTAGAAAATTACTCAGCATTATTTTCTTCCAGTAAGCTGAATGAAATTCATAGAATTATCGTATTACATGATATTTCCTGCAGTTCTCTCGAAATCTCTGTAGAAATTTTAACATCACATCCAGTCTATTCTAGGTCTCACATCCATTCTGTTCGACATTGAACTGCAGAGTTCAAAGGAGGTCCTCATTTCTCAAGAAAACTTAGCTCAAGTTTGACACGAATCTCGAGCGTACAAGTTGAGGTCGTCGAGGCATTGGACCGCAAGCAAGTCGGCCTCGGCCGCGTCAAAGAACACAAAAGTTGCGATTGATGAGCTGCCAAATTGATTCACTAATCAGGGAAAGTTTGGCAGAGCCTCAATGATCGCTGCCGTGATTGATTTCATGACAGATTCATGGGCCTTCTAAAGATGAATGAAGTGCACTCCTTTGTTATATTCGATTGTTATATAACTATATCATAGCCAACTTCTTTAAAATATTTTATTGGACTTACTATAAACTGCTGCTATATATAGCCTACGATGAGATGTCAATTTTTTAAGTGAATCAAATCCTAATGGACCAATAATGCGCACCCGATAAAATATTTATGACACGTTTAAAGTGTTCAACATTTGGGAAAGACCGCAAATATGACAAAAATATTCCTTATAGCGGCTTCATCTTGAACCGAAAGAAATTTCCAAGAATTTGAAAGTAATTTTATCACCGAGTTGCATTAATGCGTGTCCCTGCAAGTCTTACATTCAGAAAAATGCATCAGAGTCACGATGTTACCTCGCCTTTGGTATTAATTCCATCTGTTAAACATTGTATTTTAAATTGTTAGTCTTAACTCAGTATTATCTTAAACTTTAATACTGGTAACAAACCTGAAGAGGTTGAACAATTGATTCGTATGTGACTCTTAAGAAGAAACTCATTCTTGGTATTGAATGAGCGATCAGAAAATAATTTTGGAATATCCATTGAAAAAATGAATAATATTTTCTTCATTGATCCCCATTAAAGAGCTGTCAACTCTAGTCGGTCAATGTAGAATTGAAATAAAAAATTGTTTACGAGTATCATGATCAATAAAAATTTTGTTATTGCAAAATATTTAAGCTTGAACATTTAACTTAAGAGAAGCAATGCATTATTCATCATATGCGTCGGAAAATCATGACGCAAATACCTGACCATCATTCGTACGCACAGGCTGCAGCGGCAGCTTAAGAGCTGTCTCTTATACACATCTAGATGTGTATAAGAGACAGGCTCTGGAGAGATCGTACCTCTGGCCGTGCGCTTGACGTTCTTCTTGCGCTTGTAGCGACAAAGAAGAATGTCGACACAATCGCTCTTCTTGCGGTCGATGAGTTTCTCGTAGCNTACAAATTAAATCATTTCTCCTCAAAACACGAACGAAACTCGATTTCCGCTTTCGATTAGTGCTACAATTGAAAGAATGTTGAAGCTAGAAGCTCCTTTATTTTCTGTATATACGTTGCGTTTACGCATAAAAACACATTTAAGATGTACGAATATTACGATACTAAGTCATCACATGTGTACCGACCTCCGTCACTATCGCTCGTGAGGAAGCTGAGGCAGGCCCTGGCGACGCCGTGGGTGGCGCCCGTCGCGGGGTGCCCGCGTACGCAGATGAAGTAGCGCTGCCGGCCCGACAGCCCCCCCAGGCGGTAGACGAACCTGCCGCGGGCACAAACTCACTCAACGGGGGCCATACTTTCAAAACTCGCTAAGTGAGCGTAAGTACTTACGCTCTATCTTTCTTGTCTCTGATTGGTGGATTTTGCTCGAAAGGCCGTCAATGATTGGCTGATGAAGTTACGATCTCTTAACTTTTTTTGAAAGTATAAGCCCTTGGCAGAAAGGGAGTTTGGGAAATACATAAAGTCAGACAGCAAAAAAATTAATTTGGTACTCTTTGGTAAATTTACTTTGGTAAAATTCAATTTTGTTTTGGAGACGGGCAGGGTATGCATATTGAGGAGTCAGTGCACGAATGTTCAACAAAACCATGGTTAAATTGTGAAGGTAGTCTTATTGAATGTATTTGCATTCGGGCGACAAGGAATGAATTTCTTATACGAGTAATACAGAGTGCGAATGTACTTTCCTCGTAGAATATATTACCAAGAGGCCGTACGTAGCACTGCTATTTATGTTGTTGCTAAAGTGAACAATTAAAATTGTGCGAGTTGATCATTTTCTTCTGAAAACCAAAAGAAATGAGGTTTAATAAAACTAAATTAATTCAAACCAACTACAAAAAAAATTGTGCACAAAAATTCCACCGCAGTTTCTGTACCTCCATCATAGCAGTATCCAAACAAATAATCACGAAGCTAAAAAAATGCCTCCGTGGTTCGAGCAGTTCAAAAATCTTTCAGCGTTTCAGCTTTCAGCGAATTGAGTAATTTATTCAGCAATGAGCTTATGTCAAATCCCCGACCTTACATATGAATCTGGAAAAAATGCTCTTAAATTTTGAAGAAATAGCTTTTCTCGGGAAGAGGCCAATACAGCAGTTCTTTATTTATATAAAATAAGCAGAAGCCAATCAAAGATTGTAAAAAGTGCGTAGAATATCGTCTTTCTTTCCGCCATGTTGTAAGCGAGACGTTCGTCGCACAGAAGTTGCCACAAATTTTTACTGGCGTTGGGAGCCTGTCGGGTTTCTCGAAACAATAATTATTCAAGTTCAAACATATTCATAGAGCGCCATGAGTGAAATTTGGGATGAAGCATAGAAATTTAAGTTTCGGGACATTGGGCAAACAAGTAATTTATTTAGTAATGTCGGTAAGCAATATGAACCGTTATTATAGTGCCAGCAAATTTGAATCAAAAATGAAAAATTTATGCAAGTGATTAGTTGGTTATAACGTCACAATCAACTCCTCGACCAAAGAGTTTGCACTTCACAGGCTCTTTGGCATCTAATTCTACATATTTTTTCCTTTGTGAAGTTAATAAATCTTGTTTTTGCGCGCTCATTATCATTAAGTCATTAGTTTTGGTCGGAAGTTGGCAATTTCAAGAAATTGTTTAACTTTCATCTATAGAGTGGTAACATCGTTCAATCTATAAATTTCTAACTATAACATTTCCAATTTCTGCTTGAAACTCTTTCAAGTGATTACTCCACTCGAATAATATTTTTCAGTTTTATTTATTTCCATTTTCATTATTTTCATTTCCTACTAACTTTTGTTTGCATTTATAATTTATAACATATTTTAGAACACTAGTTGAATGACTTCATTCAAGTTTTGTTTGGCTCTGGTGTGGGAATTGCTCAGCTCGCTGTGAGATCCCTCTTTAGGCTCAAGTTGAATTCTGTTCAGAGGAGCGGCATCCAACGCAAGGTTGAGACAGTTGGTGCGCAGGGATTTGGGGATTGGGCACAACCAGCTCGGGGAAGCGAGGTGCTTCAAGCCTAAAGGCGAACCAAAGGCACGAAAATCAGGAAGCCTAATGAATGCTCTCTTTGAAGCAGCCTTAGAGTTCTGGCAACTTTTCCGAGTCATTGTGTAGGCGAAATTTAGGGTCGCAGATAGCGATGCTTACGCCATTAGCCTCTAATGTATGTAGAGCTTGCAGCTCACACAGCCATGCCTTCCCCTCTGCTACCTCCAAATGCGAAGATATATATTTTGGGGAATGTTGTAACACATCCCAACAATAGAGGTTGAAATTTTTTAGAAATTCATTACACCTTTTCTTTGTGAATAATTCCATTTGTTTTACAGCTGTTGTTCAATTTCCTCAACAACCAGGTTGTTTCGCGGCTTAGAAAATCCAAAATTCTCCCAAGAAGAACTGCTCAAAATTTATAATATGCAGAAAACACGGACAGTTTACTTGTTGTCTCGGACCTGCGACTTCACGTCTAAATATTAGACAGAGGTGGTGTAAGAAATTACCTTTTAAATCAGAAAGTTACGTATTACAAACAAAAATAGCTGCAATACTAGCTAAAGGGTGAAAAGTTATCAGAAAAGTAGACACTTCCTGAGCCACGCTGAAAAAATATGAATTTATCGTATAATACGAGAGCAATTTAGACACTATAAGATAAACATTCATGGTTGAATTAAAATTTTCAAAAATGTACGTTCATGTCATATTCCTGACAAATCAGTCTTATGATGTGTATTAAATAACCGTTAGTGAAATATTTTCTTTATCCTGAATAACTTTACATTCTCGATATTTCAATAATATGTAGAATTTGAGATAATATATTATTCGCTTTAACCATTTGGCTTCACGGACAGAAAATATTTAAAACAGACTAAGAAGCACTAATGCAGAAAAAAAACAGAAACTATTTATGTTGAAGGGAAAAATATTACACTGAAATCTGTTTTAAATAAAAATAATACCTTTGCTCTGTTGAAACCAGTGTCACATTCCAAAATAAAGTGAACTACGATCGTAAATTCTCCCCTTCAGGGAAAAGATCATCAAGAAATTCCTCAGGTGAAATTCAATCTTTATCGCGTTTCTTCGTCAAGCAATCCGCGACCACAAACGACAAGGCAGCAATTTTTCCGAGTCATGGAAGATTGCAAGATCTTACGTCAAAGACCCGCGGAGTTATGAAGAATCAGCAGACTAACACTTAGCAGCTCTGTTGAAAATAGTAGATGTTTTTTCGGTGGCCGGCCGTCGGCCATTCGGTGGCGCCCAAAATGTGCACATTCAATTTTCAACGTGGAGGAAGTGACAGTGTAGCAAAGCTGGTTTCTAAAGCCACCTGATTTATGGAACGCAAAAATCAGGAGATCTCTCCCGGACTTGTTATGAAAGGGAGCCGAGATTTGAACGGTGATACGAACGTACAGAAGATAAAGTTTGTCGTTCTGTTTTAGCGGCATCTTGCCAACGACTTACTTTGCTAAATTTCGTGATTCTGAGCTGAAGGTAATTTCAATTGTGATGTTGTTCTGTGATAATGTTAATATATAAATTTCGGATGACAATGATTACGACGCAGCGGCGAAATTGATGTGTTGATAATTGCGATAGGGATTTAACACGTTGACTCCGAAGTGGTACATATGCGTACCACGAAATGTATTTCTCCAGGACGTAGTGGTACATAATTCAGGTTGCCTAAAATCGGCCAAATCCGAGAACAAACAAGGCCGATAACTCAATATATACTAGTTTATTTGTAGGTTCCGTTATAAAAATTACATTTATTTTCTTTTAACAGTATTTAAAATTTAATTTGGTAGTACCCCTATCATAAATTTTAGCCGGCCAACGCAATTAAGAAAGACTAAATCACGGAATTGACCGGAAAAAAATGACCGTCTGGCAACCCTGTTTAAAAACAGTACAAAAATGAAATAATAGTACAAGATGAAGCAATCGTAGTCAACGTGTTAAATGATGTTTTTTCTAACAAAGACGATGAAGTTCGGTGAGGTCGATCGGTCTGAATAATTCGTTAATTTCAATTTCAGTTCAATTTTTTTCTTTGCATCTTTTCCTTCCTTATACTGATTTTTTTTATCGATTCGGTGCAGAGATTAATTATCATTTCAAACAACGTTAAGGATATTTGAAATTCTGATGAGAAATTTAGCCCCGGCCGTCACTTGAAATACAAGCTCAGGAATTCTAGAAAGATTTTTGCTGGGATCAACGGCCGCATCGTGACAACATTTTTTACTTAGCAGAAAATTCACCCAAGAAACGGGAATAGAATGAGTGAAAAATTAAAATGTGCTCACAGGTAAAAAATAGAGTCTGGTATGGAATACGGTTTTGGCTTCGAGCTTGCTCCAAAATCAAATCAATTCACAGAAAACGGACCAAGTGCCGAAATTTTAATATCATCAAAGATCAAAAGAGTTAAGGCATGATAATTTTGAAATTTGAACGGACAGAGAAGAATCAGTTGGAAGGAATTTGGTTGTGCCGCTCATTGAAGCACTCGCAGCCTGATTAAATTTCGAGGTCCGATTCATTTGACTCCGAACTAATATATTTACATGGACGAGCGCACCATTACTCAGGGTTAGAAATTCAGGAATGTGAGATGATATTTGATAGCATACAATTTTATTTTGTGTAATTTTTCTAATTCAACTCGAATTGTGCCCTCTATACGACACTGAACGAGTTACAGCCATAGAGTGTATAGTGGTGTTAAGATGTTACTAGACACCATCGGAAATTCAAATTTCAAATTAAAGATCTATATGCAATAGACCTCAGGACGCCTCATGGCAACCTTTCACTGACATAATACTCTCAAAAATTTCGAACTTTTATTATGATCCAATAAAAATTAATAATCAAAAACAGAGAGCAATCAAAAAATTTAAATCTTAAATTATACGATTTTCACAAATAAGATACATTTCTGGTATATTAATAATCTCGGGCCAATTTGGTTTTTAGGGACAAGCTCTCATTAATAATTTTTTTTATAATGTTCTTTACTATGAGAATGCATTTCTTTGCTTTTATTTGTAGTTCGAAACAAGATTTAGAAGAGACATTTTATTCTAACGCTACATTATTTCTAATATGCACTATCGACCGCTAAATAAAAAATGACAGTATGAGTAACTCTACATTTTAAATTAGCCATACAAATTAGCCTTACTTTCAAGTGGCCTTACATATGAGAACAATTTCTAACATTTCCAAACATCACAACTAACATTTCGATACCAGAAAGAATATATTCGCTGAAAAATTCCACCCATATAATTACTAAACATACGATTACGATTCGCTCTACTACTTAAAGAAGCTCATACCAGAGATTGCTCTGCTGATATTAGTTTGTTAGTTTGTTGTGCAGGTTATTGAAATGTTTGGTTGGTTACACGTAGATTATCTCACCCTCGCCGCCGGTCCGTCGGCTGGTAGTAGTTGGGGCCCAACACGCCCGACGTGATGTTCAGCTTCAGGCTGATGGTGAGGTTTGCAAACTCCCCATCACGATATTCCAAAGTCATCTGGAAGAATTAGAAAATATAATTTTTGATGTTAATACTTTAATTGTGATACGCCTTTTATGAGAGCAAATGACATGTATCATCTTCAGCAAATAAGAAATTTTTAAAGTTTGTTTTAGTGTTTGTTGTGAGCGTGGTGTCGTCAATATAAAGGAGGATATGCCATGGCGTATCAACGATATCTATCGGGTCGGGATTGTGACTGGACGCGACATTATATTTACAGGTGCTTAATAATAAATTTCGCAAAACGGTGTGTGAATTGAAAAATAGAAATTCAAGTTAATTCAAAATCTACCTTGACTGAACTCTTTCGAAAAGAAGAATTTATTATTTATTTAAATCACGACTTATATGGAAGTCTTTACTATATGCGTGTTTGACCTGATCTCTCATCAATCTATTGAACTGATCTCTCATCAGTGAACTGATCTCTCATCACATAAATTTAGTTCTATTATATTATATAAGCTGGAATGGAGATTTGATGATGAGAAGAATATTCTCGGGTTCCGATAACTGTATGAGCGGCATTCTTAAAGCTCGGGATTATCCACAATCAACACAGCCAAGTTCATCTCCAGGCATGTAATGCTTGTATGCTATGTCAAAATCCTTATTGGGAGAATATAATACAATCAGTTTGTGAAATGGTCAGTTTGAAGCCTCCCTTTGTACCATCGATGCCCTATTACGTATTCTATATCTGCTCAAGAGCCGCAATCTATTCTGCGTTTGAATTGTACGAACCTTATCCAATATCTATACCGTCCCAGCTCTTTCACGAGCGCTCTAAAATATCTTTTATTTCGCAAAATTTGACCGTCAGTTTCCATCAAACATTCTTTATTTATTGTCGGATTTCCCCGTATTAATATGAATTTATCATTTTACTCGCATGCGTTTCCGTGTGTTTTGAATGCGCGCCCCACTACGTATGTTTTTTTTTTATATTTGCCGTACCTTTCCAATAAAGTTTTTAAAATCTTCGATCAAATTTCATAAATATGGTTTATAGATTTGCAAAATAATTATTATGGACTTTTCTCACATTTTTAATGATATACAACCTTTGAACACACATTTATTTATAATTTTATTTAATAATTTCATCAAAACCGAGTATTAAGTTCAACAAAATGCGCAGATGAGATCATTGAAGCATTAATATAATATGATTTTTTGGATTCATGATGTTCGAAGAATGAGTTTTAGATATTTTAGCAAGGCTTACGTCAAAATGTGGTAATCATTGAAATTTCTAGTGAAAATTGTATTCTCACCAACATAATATCAATACATATTTGTCAATAATTCAATTATATTTTATTGCATTGTGGATTTTTTTAGAGAATTTTAGACAAAAATTCGAAGCTAATGAGGTTGCGAGTTTAGTATGCAAATTTATTCAAGGCTAAAACATTTTGTTTAGATGTCAGTCATTGGCTGCGTTAATTCCCTCAGTAGGAGATAGCAATCCAGCAATGGCTCTACGCACATCCCGCGGGTAATGAATGAGTTGCTGGCCATGCAGCAGCGAGAGCCTCGAGGCGTGCATGCGATTGATGGAGCACTCGATCATTAGACTGAAACGCGCGTGTGGAGCCCAGCGCGCCTTGTACCGACCTAAGATCACGGACATCGGAAACTGATTGAATTTATTTAGTATTTCGTGAGCCATTTTAAGAATTAACTGCAGGTGCCAATAAATCAAAATGGAATTTTAAAGTTTAGAGAAAATTATTGAATTAGCCCAACTGTAAGCAAACGTTGTGAGAAAATTTCAGTGGACGAATTTTATTTTAGGAAAATGTTGCAACGAAGCATTATTTTATTTTACACGCATCGATAATTGCATTCACATATATTCTTTATATATTTTTTCCACGTCAGAAATTAGTTTTGTAAAGACCGGAATTTATTGCTAATATTTCATAATGATATTACATAAGGTACACTTTTATTTGGTCTCATTCGCGGAAACAATATTCAAAATTACCGAACGACAAATGTGCTGTGCAGTTTGAGAACTAGGCTGTAAGGAAAGACTAATTCACGATAAACATTCTCGAATTTGATCATGTCTAAAATCTCGTTAGAATCCTAGTGTCGTTATTGACTATTATTTATTTCAACCAAACAGATGCAAAATAGCTTTTTGCAATACTTTGGTTTGTTTCGTTTATTGTTATTCGGGTGTGCTAGCTCGCAAAACGACATTCAGAGAATATGTTTTCAAGTGACATTCTTGTCTTAGCCTTGGCCTTGAGTAACACATAACCATTGTTTACATATTGTTTATTCACACACAGTAGCATACAATACAATATAGTAGAAAGGAACACGAAATAAAATAACAAAAGCTTCTGAGTGAATGTCCATAATCTAAAAAAGGCTTCTAATGCTACAAGGTGGTCTTTTAAACTAATAAAAAAAATGATATGATAATAGTAAGAACGACAGAAAGGGTCCAAAATAACACATCCATTACAAAAAAACTCAAGAAAACTTATAAGAGCATGTCACGAAAAGCAAGCATGTCTATGACAACAGCAGCATTACACTGAAAATAAGATGTAATTGAAAACAGCTAGCATGCCAAATTGCTATTAATTAATCTTACATGATAAACGAAGTCAAATTATTATTGGGTAAGAATTTAATCCCTAAAATGAATTCTGAACAAACTATTTTGAAATTATCAGGCAATTCATTAAAATATTTTAGACAATTAAAAACTGTACAGTTTTCTTCCAATTTCTAACCGGAGCGGAGTAAGTTAAAGCTTATGCTCCCATGTATTATGGAATGCTGAGTAAGAAGAGAGGTGAACGGAGATTTAAAAAGACGGTTATCATGGAAAAGTGCCTTATTCATACATTTTAAAAACTAAGATTTTTACATATCGTTGAGTTTTAGGGTTATCTATTGCCTATATGATACGTTAGTACGAGTCAAAGGAATATTGCTTTCATCATACCTAACCCGCAATATTGAGCGCAGCGATTTATTAATTAACGTGATGGCCTGTTTCTTCGAATAAATAGGTACACCACCCCAGATTATTCAACGTGTTTGATACTTTTGATAAAGCCAATGAATAGAAAAACGTTCTTATTATTGAAGAGGTAAAACGCTTGATAGAGAACGCAACACTCCGTTTGCTTTATTCAGCCCCTGATAGACGGGGCTGTGTAAATTACATGACAAATTAAAGAGAACGCATCCATGAATCGATTAAGTTGCAAATATCGTGCATCAGTTATTGCAAATAACGATAACTTTTATAAACATCGAAAATTATGAAACTCCAATCATGTAAACATTGTACGAGGTGCTAGTGAAAACAGAAATAATTCAGTGTTTGGAGTGTGGAACTTTGTCGCTGCCAGAATACTTTATCTCGTTACTCAATATGACGTTCGCGCGAGATCTATACCTGTTGGTAATTCTAATATGCTAAATTTTTACTGTTTGTCACCAAAGGAATGAAGTTACAAGTTTTTAGATAAATTTTTCTCTTTTTTTTGTGGAACAAACATAAATATTGATACTAAAAGTCCCCAGATTCGTTCGCTCTAACGGACGCACAGCAAATTCAATGAGAGCGCACAATGGATCTAGAGGACATGTGCCGTCACGCCCCACACAAATACTGCATTATGCAGGTCTGTGCCATCGATGCATCCGCTCGAAGCCGGCATGAACAAGAATAAAGTCGATGGATGTACAGTATTCCAGGTCGCTGTCCCGGTTTTTTATTGTTTGTTAGAATTTTTCTAGACTGAATGACTATTTGGATCTATAGAAATGGCGGTGTGAAAAAGTAGCTCAGCGTTTTCATGGCTTCTCGCAGCCCAATTATATTGTGTCTTCTATTCGAGTTAAGGGATAAAATTCTACTTTCAAAATTCCACCTCATGTAGAACTTTTTCGGATAGACGTTGTGTTTCGCTATGAACATTTGTTGTGCACGTTATTTCTCACATTAACGGCTCACTAAGAACTGAACTTAGGCATCCAGATTAAATATTTTTCTCCTTAACTTATTATTTCAACATGTTAAACCAATTTTTTTCATGGCCCATATTGCACTGCAACCACAAATGAATATCAAATTCATTTTTAATACACAATAAATATATTTAAATATTTCAACAGTCGGTAAGCTCCATGTTGAAATTTGTCAGCTTTCAGAGTTAATATAGGTTACTATGCAAGAAGTAAATTTATGGTTATGAGAAGCGGTCAAGGCCCACTCAGCAAACAAGAAAAACTTCTTACCAGCATAGTTGTAATTCAAAGCATAGCGTAATTTTGAGTCTTTTGTAAAATCCTGATCACATAATTCACGACAGAAGATGAGACATTTTATTTCGGAACTTTAGGTTTACCTTTATTCCCCACCGAAAAACAAAATCTTAGAGCTTTTCTGTTCCCAGGACAGATTGAGAAAAATAAAAAAAAAACAGAACGGCAGTACTGCAACATTTTGATGCGTCCGCCGGAGGCCCATCGTTCTCAATTTTTTACTGGCAATTGAACTGCTCTTTACTGTCGGAAATGGCACAAACCAAATCATTTCTTTCGCATCTCGACCTGAAAAAACGTTTAAGAATTGGCCTCGTAGAGGCCAAGAATTTATTTCGAATTTAACATCTTCTTGCTTTTTTCAGTATTTTGCCACACACGGTGATTAATCGTCATGCAGTCCGTTGATCAAAGAAAAGCACCTAATTCAGCCCATATGTTCATCTTTTCAATGTTATTTGATAAAATCTCCTCGCGCAATTGTAAAAATTAGAATATGTATGACCAATCTTGTTCTCCGGTCTTCCTAAACGCATTTCAAGCCTTTCTTCAGTGAAAGGATTTCACGCCATAGAGAGTCCCATATAAAGCGATAGAAATTTTGCAACCTTCAATTATTTTCGGTCAACGTATATATTTTTGCGGTAGATAGATATCTTTTAGATATATGTTTTAAGATATTTTTTGTG